GACTTGAAAAGGAAGAGGTTGATTTCCAAGTGGGTGATAAAGTGTTTTTGAGAGTTTCCCCCTACAAGTAAGTGATGTGCTTCGGGAATAAAGGGAAGTTAGCATCGAGATACATAGGTCCATTTGAGATTTTGAGTGAGTGGGAAAGGTAGCCTACAGATTGGCACTACCACAGTATGGACAAGGTGAATGATGTTTTCCATATCTCGATGTTGTGGGAGTATGTAAGTGACCCCTCTCATATTCTGAGTGTAGAGGCTGTTGAGTTAGCAGAGAACCTTGTGTACGAGGAATGCCCAGTTCAGATTTAGACCAAAGAATTAAAGAGCTCCGGAATAGAGGATTCCGTTAGTGAAAGTCCTTTGGAGAAATCACAAGGTAGAAGAGGCCACATGGGAGGTTGAGCAAGACATGCAAAGTCGTTACCCGTAGCTGTTTATGTGAATTCGGGGACGAAATTCTTTTTTTTTTTTGGGGGGGGGGGGGGGGGGGGGGGGGGGGGGAGGGGGGAGAGGGGGGGGGAGAGAATTGTAACACCCCACTTGAGGTATGTAGCTAATTTATGTTGCATTGCTTGAATCTTTATTGTTTTGCTCTTAATTGAGTTGTTATATTGTTAATCTTGTTTGGTTGGCCCTCAGTTGAAGTGATGTGTTGGTTTGGTTGAGTGTTTGCCCTCAAATTGGTTAAAACTTGGTGAATTTTGAAGTTGTGGTTTTCGCCGGGGCGAAGAAAAGTCTTAGCTGCGGCGACGTTTGCCCTGGATTTCTTCACCGGGGTGAAGAAATTGGCTTCACCGCGGAGAAGAGCCGGCTAAGTTTTGTATTGAATTTGCTAGATATTTTTCCCTAAGGGTAAATGGACCATTCTACCCCTAATTAGCAGGAAAAGTGGAGAGTGAAATGTAAGGAAATTTCATGGAGAATATGTTAGAGTAGGGGTGTGAGTGTAAGGAATCAAAGGACAAGGATGGAATGTCTAAGAAAGAGTAAGGGCATTATGGGAATGAATGAAGATATTTTGAGCTAAAAAGGGAATAAGCTTTGTAACCCCTTCATTCTTCATCTTCCACCGCCTCTTCCATTCTCCATTTCCTCTCAAGTTTTCCTTCAATCTTTCAAGGATTCTAAAGGGCTTTTTGAGTGATTTTGGTAGAAAGTTAATCTAAAGCATCCTAAGGTAAGGATTCTTGCTTTAGATGTGAATTTTACCTATTAATGAGTTGAAGTCTTATAGTATGGTTGGTTGAGATTGTAGAGAAAAGGCAAGTTACCAAAGGTAAAGAGAAGTGCTAGTGGAATCACTCCATCACAAGTAAGTAAATTCAACCAAGTTGAGATTTAAGAACTCTTTTGAGTAGAGAATTATATATGCATGTGGATGCTATATTATTGAGAATTGAATTGAGATGAGTATTTGCTTTGTGGTTGTTGAATACACTTCATTTATGAGAAGTGTTGAGATTGCATCATGAGTGATGAGTGAGATGAAATTAGAGGAGATTGAGAAATCCTTTTAGAAGTGTTTGTCCTTGACAGGAATTATAGCTATGTGAGGGAGTTTCCTCCCATTTTGGATGGTTAAAGAAAGAAGTAGAGTTATTGATTATAGTAGAGTTTTTATATGCACATGAGTTGTTTGATGAAATGCCTAAGAGAAGTATCAGCATGAATAGTAAACCTTAATTCTTGCAACATTGCATATTGGCATTTCATTAGTGCATTAATGAGCATTAACCATCCATACGCATTAGTTGTGCGTTGAGAAGTAGCTTGAGAAAGAGTAGAGAATTTGAGTATAAGTTACTCTAAGAGTAATGAGAATGAGAAAACTCCAAGAGTAGAGTAAAAGAAGAATAAGCACTAGAGAATAAAAACAAGAGTAGTGCTAAACGAGAGAATAGAGTAGGTCATGCGATGGGGAACCCGTGAGTGATGAGTAGAATCATCATGAGTAGTGGTAGCTTTGTGATCTTCCAGCCGTGCCTCTTGTAAGATGAGGTTGTGACACTCGAGAAAGAGAGAGAATACACTCACGTGGCCAAGGGTTTCGAATCCATGCATAACCGAGTCCGATCGGCAAAGAATGAGTTAAGGTCACAAGTAGTGGGAGCTTTGTGATCTTCCGGCCGTGCCTCCGGTAAGATGGGGCCGTGACATATGAGTGAGTAAAAGTCGCGTAAAGCGGGCTTGAGTTCTCGGCCGTGCCTCCAGTAAGATGAGGCCGTGACATTTAAATGAGAAAGAACAGAAAGAGAGAAAAGTATAAGTCATGAAGAGTGGAGTGAGTTCTAGCTGTGCCTCCAGTAAGATAGGGCCGTGAAATTCAACGAGAGAGTAATGTAAGGAAAGAATTAAGAGAAAGAGTTACGGGGATAAATGAGTAGAGGATTTACTTACTAAGCCTTTTTGTGCTCACCCCGTTGTTTCTATGTGTTTTGCAGGATCTAGGTGAGGATGCGATCGGATGGGCGTCGGCAAGCGAAGAGAAATAGTTACACTGTCCACCATGTTTTTGATGACTTTTTGTATATGATACTTCATTTTGTGTAAAGTATATGTATATTTAATGAAAGAAAAATTTGGGCCCATCTAATTATATTATTATACATGTATTTTATTATATGTATTTTTATGAGTATATGAGTAGAAAGGCGTCGTTACATCTGCGTTTGCTTTTTTGTTTATAAGATGTCTCAATGAGACTAAGTGGATTGATTCTGTGCATCTCTTCAAGTGTTGGTTTGTGTAAGCATTGGATTCTGATTTGGGGTATTTGAAATCGACGGCTTTGAGGCATGTCTTGCTATTCTAAAAGGGCAATTTCAAATTTTATTAAAATCAGTTTATAAACCGGTTAACCGATAACCAAATCAAATTATTGGCTTGGTTAATAATTGGTTCAAAGGATAATTCGGTTCGGTTTCGGTTCGAATTATCCTCTGAACCGAAAAACCGGTTCGGTTTGAAAAGTGTGTAATCCGGTTTGGTTAACCGGATTTGCACACCCATTATTATGTATAATTTGTTAGTCACCAAAGTGGCAAAATAAGAATGGTTATCCCATAGATATCAAACTAAGTTAGATTCAATTACTCATGATCATTAGATGCTTTAAGGAGATGACATGATGTATTTGAGATGAGTAATTTGAAGTTTATAAATTATAGGATAGTTAAAGATTGCCTAGAGGTAGATTAGTTAATTCTATAATTATGAACATAATTGTGGTTAATTAATGTACTTGATTAGGTGTGTTTATTATATCCGAAGATAATGAACATGTCTAACGAAAGTACATTTCATTACCAATTAAGAAAATTGTATCAATTAAGATTAATTATCATATATTGTTATATCTCCCATGGATGTAGGCATTTTGCCGAACCATGTAAAAACCTTCGTTGTTCTTTATTTTGTTTCATGGTTGGTTATTTTGCAATGATGAAGAATGAACACTAAAATCAACTTAGCAATCCATTCTACTTAGGTTTAATTCACTTGGTAAAGGAATTAAAACCTTCCGTTTATATGCTTGACCATTTTAAATATGGCCTTTGGCTAATTATTATTATGTAATATAAAGTTATTAAGTATCACATGGACCGAGTCAGAGAATGTTAGAAATATTTTATATTTTACATAAGTTGGTCTATGTATTAAGGTTGTTTTTGAAATAATAAAGGGCATGATGGTCATTTATCTTTGATGGAGAGGTTATGCAGTTAATAAAATAACTGCAATTTGAGAGTTAATAAAATTGTCGTGTATAAAGGGGTCCTCTCTTTATTCCTATGTATGTAATTTTCTTGTCTGTCATAAAAAAATAGCTCACAGACAATAAGGGAATAAAGGGAGAGATGCTGCCTTCTTTCATAACACCAATCATTAATATATTAATAATGATATTTTTATTATTTTATAATGTGATTAGTTGACTAAGTATGCTCTAATAGTAATTAAATTAAATCTAGTTGATCTATGCCAATAACTTAAATAAGTCAGAAAATTGATTAGCAAATTATATAAGTTTTTAAATTTCACTAAAATGATTTTAAATATAAGAAAATTAACACAATAAAATGATTAATTAATTGCTAAAATAATATTTTAATTAGATCTAATTGTTACATCTAAAAACGTGATAAGTCAGTCCTTGTAATTTTATTAATTAAAGTTTCATCGGTCTTTCTTTACATGTATCATATTATCTTTTTTTTATTTGATAGCTATGATATCCAATTATTTCAAGAGATTAAAGAAAATTCCAGCAGAAATTATTGATGGAGACTCTATTGATATTAAGGTTAATCAAATCCCATTAGAAGAAGAAGTCCTACATTAGCAACAACAACACCAAGTAAAAGAAGCTCAACCTTCGGTTGGGATATTCAATTTAGATGAGCTTGAAACTGATCCAGGATTGAGGATACCAATTAACGAGATTTGTTGTACTGACAGGCAAAAGGAGGAAGTTTGAAGAGCATACTTGTTGAAAGGTCCTTGCCAACCTAAAGATCATAACTTTCCTTTCACTGTTTTCAGAGATAAAAAGCGTAGGTTTACACCAGAGTGGTACAAAGAAGGTCCAAGTTCGATGGAATATAGTGTGGCAAAAGATTGCATCTTTTGTTTAAATTATTATCTTTTCAAAATTGATTATGGTGACCAAGCAGGTGGTGAAGTTTTTGTGAGTAAGGGATTTAATAATTGGAAAGATAAAGCGAAAGTGAAAAAACATGTTGGAGATCATTCTAGTGCTCATAACCATTGTCATGCAAAGTGTGTTGATTTGATAAACCAAAGGCAACACATCGATGTAAATCTTGCTTGCGTGTCGAAAAAGGCCCCCAATTGATTGATAAACCAGAGTGCTCATAACCATTGGACTATCGCATTCGCTTGAATGGATCAATTGATTGCATTAGATTTTTTTTACATCAAGGATTGGCATTTTGTGGTCATGACAAGTCGGTTGAATCTGAAAATCAAGGTAACTTTATGGAACTATTGAAGTTTCTATCCAATCATAATGATGACATAAAAAAAGTTGTGCTGGAAAATGCTCTGAAAAACCATCAAATGACAGCCCCCAACATCCAAAGGGAATTAACTAGTGTTTGTGCTCATTTGATGACCAAGAAAATTATTGCAGAAATTGTGAGAGATAAACAACCATTCTCTTTACTAGTTGATGAATCTCGTGATGTGGCAGTGAAAGAACAAATGGCTATTGTTTTTTGCTATGTGGACAAAATAGGTTGTGTTATTGAACATTTTATCGGGGTTGTGCATGTTAAGAATACTTCTGCAAAGTCTTTGAAAATTGCAATAGATGCTTTTTTTGTAAAGCATGGATTGAGTTTGACAAGTTTACGGGGGCAAGGTTACGATGGAGCAAGCAATATGAGAGGTGAGTTCAATGGTTTGAAGACTTTGATATTGAGAGAAAATAAATTAGCTTTCTACATTCATTGTTTCTCTCATCAACTCCAACTAGCGCTAGTCAAAGTTGTAAGTAACCATTCGGCATTGGGTGAATTTTTTCAATCTCTTTCTATGTTATCAAACACTATAGCGGCATCTTGTAAGCGCATAGATCTTCTACGTGATAAACAATATGAAAATGTGATATCTTTGATTTCTAATGGTGATCTTCATATAAGACGAGGTTTGAATCAAGAATGCATTATTAAACGACCAGGAGATACACGTTGGGGTTCACACATAGGGACAATTCATAGTGTCATAAATTTATTTTCTTCTGTTGTTGATGTGCTTAGGGTGATTGAGATTGAAGGAGACGATTGGCAAAACAAAAGTCAAGCAAGGAGTTTATTACGAATCATGGAGAATTTTGAATTCGTCTTTTTGTTATTCTTAATGAAAAGAGTATTGGGAATCACAAATGAACTGTCGCAAGCATTACAAAGAAAAGATCAGGATCTTCTTAATGCCATACAAGTTGTACAAATTTCGAAGCGTCGATTGCATAAAATGAGAAATGAAGACACTTGCTTCGACATATTGTTAAAAGAAGCTTTTGATATGTGCAAAGATAATGACATACCAATCTTGGAGAATATGGAAGATAACTGTGGGAGGACAAAACTGGGGATTGCGCTAATTACGAATAAACATCATTTTAAGGTGGAATTGATATATACAGTTTTGGATAACATTCAAGAAGAACTCAATAATCGTTTTGATGAAGTAAATATGAGGTTGCTTTAATGTATGTCATCTCTTGATCCAAGTAACTCTTTTGTTGCATTTAACAAAGATAGATTGCTTGAATTTGCAAAGTTCTATCCTGTCGATTTTCCTCAACACGATATTTGGTTGCTCGATGATCAACTTGAAAACTATTATGAGGATGTTAGCACAAANTACCCATATCAGACGGAGAGTGTCCGAAGGATGAGAGACGAGATTGATGAAATAGACGTTGTAGGCCACCCAGAATCCGGAGCCTAAGCCTACTCCACAAATCAGGCGGACAAAAAACGTTTGTAGAGGAGACAGCGAATGGAATGAAGAAGAAGAAGAAGACGGAGCTTCGGTGGTTGAACGCTTCACCATTTTTCGGGATTTCAGAATGAAGTTGTAGGGTTTATACATTGGGCTAAGTCGGGCTCAGCATTACTGGAATTTCGTCATGTATGTGGGCTTAAATGGGTGCAAGATAGGCCTGCTAGTATTAATGGGCTCATACAACTTGGATTTCATTAGTTTAGAAAACCCAAGGGAATTATTTTCAACCCCGAGTTAGTTTTTTTTTTATTTTTTTTTATAATCACCGGGGGTGTATGAGCTAACTTGCATATACTTTAACTAATATTTCATAATCCTGAAACTATCAGTTAGGTAAGAGCCTAGTGACCGCCCCTATTAATGTGTAAAGAGACTCAAATTCAAAAGCTCATGAAATATTCTTTTACTCTTTTACCATCAGACCGACCTAGTGGGGGTTATGAGCAAGTCTCAAAGGAAAATAACAAGAGTTGCCATGATGAAATATATATAATGGAGATGTCTTGATGTAGGAATATTAACATTTAATATAAATATGTAACATCTTTTAAAATTTTATCATCTAGCTTTTAATATAAATCAGCAAAATTATATTTTTGTGGCATTGTTTCTTGCATTCTTACTATTCCTCCAATTTGAGATTCAAATTAAATTTCAAATTGAAATTAATTACACAAACTACTTATCTTATGCGTGATAACATGGCATGTCTGTTATCAAAAGATATATATATTTTAAATGCAAACAAACAATAATAAACCTTTAACCAATTTCAATTAATGAGATCCACAGAAAATATGGATTATGAATTCATATGTTTAAATCTTTCCATATATCTATCCATTTTAAATTCTAAATTTCCATAAAAAATAATAATATATCAATTAATTAGACAAAAAATTAAACAAGTGTATATAACATAATTTTATTAGAATGATAAAAAAAAATAAAAAAAAATAGATATATAACATTAATTATACAATATCATTCTCAGTCAAATACTTTTTCAAGAATATTTGGATATGAATCCCATTCCCATACTCTTACCATCAAACTTAACTAGCTACTATTACACAAATGGCCTCATGCACAACCATATTAGCACAACCACTAAAAAAGAAACTCAAATTAGCAAATTATTTCTCTATCTTCTTCACCTCTAATTATTGAATCACTCTAGTTAAGATGAAGCTGCATAATAAATTCTGAGAAGATATTTAATGTAACAATTGCTCGATACTTGCTTGATGCTCCGATGGTGATGGCTTCGGAGTTGGAGAGGCGCTTGGTGTCGGCCTCTTTCCATAATCAGTTACCATTGTGATGACCCTTTTGCATTGAGTGCTTCCTGCAACGCAAGGAGATTTACTTTATTTTAATTGGTCTGGAAATGATGATGGATTCGGTGGCGGTGGAGGCAACGGCACGGTCTTTCCGAAAACCGGTTGTCAGTTGATGGAGTGAGGTTGATGACTTTATAGGTAGTGATGCTGATCTTGAATGCCTTCCATAGTTAGTAATCATGGAGATTTTCTTTTGCCAGTCTATATAGGAAAACAGAAAGATTAAATAAGCAAGTTACTCAAGACATTTAAAATGCTTGATAATCAATTTCCAATATCAATAGCTCTTGTATATTCCAAAAAGGAAAAAGATCTCTAAAAGCTTTTTCCTTGATCCGAAAGAGATATGTAGGCTTTCCCAATAAACTAAAAGTGAATCATACTTGAATCTAACTGAGGTTAGCAGTGATAGAGAAACTGCATGGCAAAAAAAAAAAAAAAAAAAAAAAGACGGATTCCAATTGTCAGATATCCAATAAAATTGTCTAAGTGAATCTATGATATAGAGAAAAGAAAAACGGGAGAAGAGAGTGAGAATTTATATATACCAGCTTTTTTATTGTTAATTAAAAAAGCAAAAAGAGTTACTGAAACAAATATAAACAGTTGCCTCTATGCATGCCTTTGTATTCCTTTGAAAATATAAAGTTGTTGCATAACAATATACTAAAGGCTTAATTAACCTTAATTAATTACAGAAGTTTGCTCATAATCCATAGATACATGTAAATTACCTGATAAGGTTCTTGCTTCTGCTGAAATGGCAAGGAAGGCAAGAAGAGATGCAAGAAGTAGAGTGCTCATTATTGAAGTTGTCATGTTCTTCATCAATAATTCATAAACCAAAAGGGAGAGTGAAAGCAATTTATAGACACAAAAGTGCTTTGAGTATGAACTAAGGATCGATTAAAGAAAATAAATAACTAAAAAAGGAAACATAAATTCAAAATGGAAGATGAAGGAAGGAAGAATTGACAGAGATTAGATTCAGAGAGAAATATGAATGTATTGATGATTTTTCCTTTTTTTACACGTTAAGTATAAGTGTGTTTATATACACTTTAGAATGTAATCTTGTATAATCAAAGTTGCAGATATTGTGGGATGCAGATTTCAGGTTAGAATTAATCTACTAAACTGGTCTTTTGATTCTTGGGAGAGAAATCTGCACTTTCGTTTGAGGTAGTTTTAAACCCAGTCAACATCCCCCTGAAAGCTGACGGTGCGGAACAAACTGTCAGCTTGGACCTCAACAACTTGGATCGTGTAAACGAGAGACTTTAGTGAAGATATCTGCTGGCTAATCAGATGAAGAGATAAAGTGAACAGAGAGTTGTCCTCGTGCTAGATGTTCTCGAATGAAATGATAGTCAATCTCGATGTGCTTGGTCCGAGCATGGAAAACTGGATTCTCCATGAGGTATAATGCCAAGAGATTGTCACACCAAAGCGTAGGTGGATGAGGAGGGAAAGCGTGGAGATCACATAAGAAATATTCATTCCACATGAGTTCAGCTGTGGTGTCAGTGAGGCAATAGTACTTGGCCTCTATGCTTGAGCAAGCAACAGTGTGTTGTTTTCTAGAACACCAAGAAATAAGGTTGTGATCGAGAAAAACACAGTAACCACCAACAGATCTACGGTTATCACGATCACCTGCCCAACTAGCATCAGTAAAGGTGTGGAAAGCAGTTGATGGACTTCGAGTAAGACATAGGCCAAGGCGAGGAGTGTCAACCAAGTAGCGTCGAATGCGCTTGACAAAGCACCAATGCAAAATAGTAGATGCATGGAGAAATTGACAAGCAGTGTTAATAGAATACGCAATGTCTAGCTGAGTTAGTGTTAATTATTGGAGTGCGCCAACTATGCTCTGATAAAGAACGGGATCTGGAAATGGTTCACAGTGTTGAACAGAAAGAGGCTCATCTGTGGTGTAGGGGGTGGAAACGATCCAAGCATCTGTCATCTTTGCACGAACCAGAATCTCATAAGTGAATTTTGCTTGATGTAGGAGAAGTCCATCAGAGGTGGGTTGAACTTCTATTCTAAGAAAATAATGGATATGGCCTAAATCTTTGATAGTGAACCCTCATTGAAGTGTTTGTAGTAGACTGGAAAATGGTGTTGTAGGGGATTCGATGAGAATGATGTCATTTACATATACTAGAATGTGATAGTGTATTCAGTAGTGTGAAAGACGAACAGTGAGGAGTCTGCACTAGAAATTTTGAACCTGAGGCTTGTAAGATACGAACTGAACCTTTGATACCAGGCTCTAGGAGATTGTTTGAACCCGTAAAGTGATCGTCGGAGACGACACACATGATGGGGACGTGTTATGTCTATAAACCCCTGAGGTTGTACCATGTAAACTTCCTCATTCAGATGGTCATGTAGAAAGGTGTTGGAGACATCAAGTTGCTGAATCAACCATCCTCGTGAATAAGCGAGGGCTAGGACAATGCGAATTGTGACTTTTTTGGCCACTGGATTGGAGGTTTCTGTGTAGTCAATACCTGGATGCTGATGGAAACCTTTAGCTACTAGTCGGGCTTTGTACCATTCGAGAGATCCGTCTACATGTAGTTTTACTTTATACACCCATTTGCATCCTATTGGTCGAGCATTTGATGGAGGAGGTACGAGGTCCTATGTCATATTTTTTATCAAGGATGTATATTTTGTAGCTAAGGAGTGATATTGTCGATGGCTGGGGAAGGAAGTAGATTAATCAGAAAAATCGTTGTCTCAATGCAAATTCCCAAAAGTGTAAGGGAGTTCTAGCTTTTGATAAGAGAGCAAGGCTAGTCTCAACAATATGATGATGTTTGCATTCAACTGTTCCGTTTTAGAATTGGGAGTATGGACATGAAATGCGTTGATAGATCCCATGCGCTATAAGGTGAGCGCGAAAAGCTAAAGAAAGAAATTCAAGTGCACCGTCGCATTGTATTACCTATATCTTATGTTGAAGTTGATTCTCCACAAATTTATGAAGAGAAATAAAAATATCAAGAAATTGTGTGCGACTAGTGAAGGGATAAAACCATGAAAATCTGGAAAAATCATCAATAAAACATACATGATATCTATAATTATTGAAAGACGTTACAAGAGGTGGGCCCTAGATATCAAAATGGACTAGTTGAACTGGGCGAGCAGCCCATGATTGAGTAGGATGATGATAATGGCGGTGGCTTTTACTGAGAGCATAGGTCGTACAACTTATTTTAGGATCCTTGGAAAAAACCTTATTTGTGGAATGCAATAAACGAATTATAGCTTTACGAGCAGCATGTCCTAAATGATGATGCTGTAGATTAAATTTATTTGGGTTGGTGCGAGAATTTGTAA